ATATAAGTAAAACATTTTAATAGGTACTTTTTGATAATAGTTGGTGTATTGGTGTAAAATCATCTAAATTTTAAACATTTTTCATTGATTGTGAAGAACAAAATTAAATTCATTCGATGTATAAATAAAGAGTTTTTTTAATTGCTATGTATAAAATCATTTTTTATTATGGTGTTATTACACATTATTTTGTTTTCCGTAACATATAAATGCGTACATTATGTAGTTTCAAAAAACGTGGTCTTCATAAAATTTACTTATTATTTATTATTTATTACATTTTTACTTTTAAAAATGTCTTAAGTATTATTTATTTTTAATGTAATATTTCATTTAGTTATGATTTATAACAATATTATAACTTACCATAAATTTTCAACCTTTATAATTAACGCAGTAGATATAAAATATATATAAATATAAAATTATTTATCTTGTTTAGAAATGTTTATAAGTACCTAGGTTAATTACACCTACCTAATACCATTTTAAGTATGACTTTTTAAAATTAGTGCGAAAGTTAAAAGGTAAATCTTAAACTAGAATAGGCACAAAAAGTCAAATAAGAAAATACATTAATAACGCAATATTGTATTTCTGAACGTACAGTATCACAAGTGAAAAAGTTAAGCTTGGAAAAGCAATAGACATTTTCTACTTGGATATTAAATTATCACTTAATTGCTTAACTATATATATATATATATATATGAATGTTGCACATAAATAATATATTAATATATTTGTTATAACGTAAGTACAGTTACTCAAAAAATTGATTAATATAATATTTTATAATATAAACGTTATCAATAATATCATATTTAATTAACTTCAGATTATTTATACACGCGAAAAAAATATTGAAAGATTGCTGTTAAAAAAATCATTTTTATATATTGATATATTAAAATTAATGATGAGTAAAAAGTAAGAAATTTCTAATATTTTTAAAAATAACCGGGAAAACAAAAAAAAAAAAATAAATAAATAAATAATGAACCAATTTAAAAATAATAAAGATACAATGGATTCATTTTTATTTATAGGCATTAAATTTCAAATTTTGGAAAATCCATAAAAAAAATAAAAATTTACAAATCATTTTGTAGTTAAAATTGTGTAAGATTTTCAATTTTCATAGCTAAGGATTGACAATTAAATATAAGATTTATAATAAGTTTTTTATATATCATACTGTAACCAAAAAAAGGTTGAACATATATAAATACAGTTTATTTTTTTTAGATATTTTAAGTTAAAATTTGGACATTATTAGATTGAAATCATAACGGTTTTAGTTATTTTATTTTAATTTAAAAATATTATTCATAGGCAATTGAAACTTTTGATGTATACTATCATTATTATATTTTTTAGATCCAATTACATTTTGTAATAGAATATTTTTGACTAAGATTAATTCAACCTATCGTATTACTAATAGTAAGATAAATTAATTTGATTAATTTAATAGCAATGTAAACATTAGACATATAATAATATACATGACATTAGACTACCTCTGTTCAAAATCATCTTTTGCATACAATTTTTCATCATTGAATTCGAATTTAACACACAACAGTGACTTACTCCTCAATAACGAAGTATCGATTGTTTAATGTACAACAGAGCATCATTTAATTTTCCTCTTTTCATTATTGTTAATATGTAGATTGATATTTTACGATTAAGAATTAAATATTAACATTATAAAAATATTTCTAAATAATACACTTTATAGAAGTTAAGTGGTAAAATTTAACAAATATTTATTGATTTGAGAAGTATTAAAATGAAAAAATATTTAATAAAAATTAATATTATACTATTTTAAAAGTATTGACATTTTGGTATTTGCGGATTATTTCTGTAGTACGTGGGAAATAGTACCTCATAGATTTCGAAAATTTCTTTGGTTCAATTGAATAATTCCCTAGGGCTATGTCAGAAGGGTGACAATATTTACATTGAAAATTGTAAGGAGATTTAAAACAAAAAAAAAAAAAAATAATAATAATAATAAGAAAAAATAGCTGTGAAAACAAAAAAAGTTGGCCAACACGACTGAATTCACTTAAGATGCACTGTCACGCGCAGCAGGATTTCAATTTCCCATCCTCCCCGCCTACGGACCTGTAGTGAGATAGATCATGAAAAAAGGGTAAATGACTATAAGAGTGTGGTGGCTGATGCAAGATGAACGAACGGCCATAGGGGTTCGGCGAGGTATTTTCAAGCAATGTTTTCTCTCCGGTGTGTCGAAAACTTAAAGCCGTTCACAACGGAAACTTTATTAAAACTTTAAACGAGACAAGATGCTGGCTTTGGCATATTGCTTTAACTTACTAGTTAAATACCCCATATGCGTACAGAGTTTTTGCCATCATTTAAACTTTAAGTACCATTACTTTATTGGACAAAGTATAATAACAAAAAACAAAACAACTACTATTTGATAATATATATTTGACCCGTTTAAAAATGTATTTTAAAAACGTATTAACCGATAATAATATAATAATATTAGTTAAAGTTAGTAAAATTGCAACTTAATAATACTACTAATCAATTATATCATTTTATTTTATCATAAAAAATTGATCTATTATTTCTCTTAATTAATATAATAATAGTTTATATAGCCTGTTTTTTTTTCATCAAAATATATTTTCGTGGCACGAACGATTGTGCAAATAAACAATTTTTGATTTGCAATGTCGTTTATCTCTAATAGTAAGATTTTGAGAATTTATTATGTATTATTATATTATTTATCTGAAAAAGAAAAATAATATCCTAATCTTTAACCAATAAAAATTATTTATATTTTTAAGTGTGAAAATTTTTTTTTTTACTTTTATAATAACAACAAACATTAAATTTAGGTAATGTATCAGTTTTCTTTCTTAATTTATCAGTATACACTACCTAGTCGCTATAACTTATTGTTATTAATGACGTCAATTGTTATTTTTCAATCGCAGAATGAATATCATTCCTAGAGACTGGCTGGTATAATATGCAATTTAATTCAAAGTACTCATGCAAACTATAATTTTCATCGGGATATATTGTAACTTGAAATGATCATTTACCGAGAATTGACGATCGAAAAATATGTAACATTCTGTTGGTTATTGGTTGACAATGGGTATACCGTATTAAAACACACGTTGGCGGTTAGGTTAGTCATGACTCATGAGCAACTGAGCTTTGTTTAATCAACGAAGCGGACTGGCCAGATGTACAGCTAATTTTCTGTATCTCTGTATTGTTATCTAGGTTATTGATCATCTGGTGATTTATATAACTAGCTCGTTTATTTTAAATAATTATAATTTTTAACTTAAAAATCATCAATACTGAGTCAAAAAGAATGAGTAATACGATAAGTTGCCTAAATTTGACCACAATACTATTTATAATAGAATTAATTATATGTGTAGTAGGTAGGTATGCGTGTTATAAATTAATCAAGTTTATATTTATCATTCATGTTTTTAATTTATCCGAGAAAAGTTATAAAAATATTTTATAACGCGTAGATTTGAAATAAAATTTAAATACATGTAAAAATGATATGCTAAATGACCGCGTTTCACAATCTGTATACTTAAATTTATTATTAAATACAAACAAGGAATATAATAAGGCCATGGCTTAACCATACAGTTTTAATAATATGTACGTATGATTCATTATCTAATTAAATATGCATTCATCGTTTGCGTATTAATTATTCAGTAATAAATAATAAAATTAATGTGATATAGATAGTTTTCAATAAATTGACTCAACAGTTTAGACTTGAGATTTAATGAAAATAATTTATAACTATAATATGCTTACCTAATGGTCACAATTGATTGTTTGTGTAAAAATACTTATATAATAATATTAGTATATAGTATACATAAACCGAGGGTGGCCAAATTACGGCTCATGTCATGGTATCATAATATAGCTACCATCTTATCGTAAAATTCAAACATAATTACAAAAAAAAATAAATATTTTTAATATGAATAAAAGAAGTATAATATTTTATTAAATTTCAATTTATAGAAAAAATTTACAACAACAAAAAATAGTGTTTATGATGTAATATTTAAATATGTATATATTTTTTTATTTCTAATTATTAATTAATATTATATAGATATAATGTTTCGCATTTTATACATTTTATTACAATTAATGTCTAATTATCTTTTTTACAATAATCATATACATACAGTAATGTGAATTTTTTTTCATTTTGGCTATTCTATAATTATTAATATATTGGGCGAGCCGCAAGTCTCTTTTTGCTGGCCACCTTTGGTATATACTATAGTATCAACTGTTTTATAAATATTCATTTCTTATGAAAAGGTTAATAATTTTAATTAAACATTTACTATGTTCGTAAAAATAGTATTATCTATATATATATTTAATTTTTATTGCTTGTAATAAAAACTTTGTATTTTGGGTTCATAGTTTAATCTTTGTTATTATCTCGATAGATAACATTTTACATAGTTTCGGAGGTCCTACAAAATAAACAAATATACTATATTACGTAAATCGAATATACTGCTCGAAAAATTACGTATTCATAAAAAATAATTGATACGTCTTAGTAACATCAATAGATAAAAAGGATGGTATAAAATGAGTGAGAATTTTATTGTTGTAGAGTACATACAACCCAGTCTGCCCCTGAATTTATTCATTTATATAATAATTAATAAAAACGTTTTGAAACACATTTTTTGTAGTTTTCTGTAAAGGTAATAACAGTAATTTATTGTTCAATGTATTTTTAAACGACGCGGAATAGAATTACATTTTCATTAAATCGCATTAAACTACAATGCAACAATAAAAACGTTGTAATTCGATCACAATTTAATACCTGTTGTATGTACCTTTTCTTAAAAGCTTAGTGAATGTTTTCGAATAGAATATATAAAGTAAAGAAAAGAAAAAAGTTAAAAAGAAATACTTACTTCACCATTTGGGCGTAACAGGACGATGGCTCGGAGTTGTTTGTCGACGAGGTCAGTGTGCTGGTCGAGTGGAAACGAGCTCGTTCCATTTTCATTCTTTCCATTTCCCGTTTTTTTGTCTCGGAAAATTGTGTGGCTATGACCACTAAACATAAGTTTATCATGAAAAATGATCCGATCTAAAAAAAAAAAAAAATATTAATCACGTATAAATAAATCTTTTTTTACGTAATGTCACTTATAACATTATATTTTAAAGAAATAAATATTTCGGTGCAAATATTTTATTTTAAACGTATATAATATATTTTTATATGTATATAGTATAATCAGTAAGTATATAATATATATTCATATGAATCTTTAAGGTTTCCAGAGTAATATATTTTGCAGGTGGTCGTTTTGTTGTAATACAACGATTGTAAAAACACGACGACAGTTTACATTATTAAAGCTGTTGAAGCTTTTGGGGTCGTTATAAATATTATATAAGTTTACTTATTTCCACTTATCTATTAGCACTACGAACTATGAGTATAATGTTTCAAGTTATTGTAAATAACGCAACGAATAATTTATTATTCTTTTTCAACAAGTTTTTAGCAAATTATATGTCATACACTTTTAGTTCTTATAAAATAGACTTCGAGAATATAATATAAGCTATTTCCATATAAGTTTTACATTTGTATAACAACCAGGATGGAGTATTTTTTAGAAAAAGTAAATGTTTTATTAACATACCTTCAAAATTCTACGAAAATAATAAATTATTAAAATAGACAAATTGAACAACAAAATGTAATTAATGTTGATACAATATTATATGATATCATTAAGTGAAAAAAAATATTTTTCTGTTTTAATAGATGTATTGTGGTTTTTTATCTTTATTGGTCATATTGGTTATATTCGTTTAACTTATTATAATAAATTTATAAGTCGCAAATCATTACATTTATTCGATTTTAATAATTATAAATTCTTATATTAAATGTATATACATATAATACATTATTGAGATGCTCATAAAAATAATAAATTTGAAACAAAAAAATTGAATGTTGAATTTTAAGTATTTTTAAGAAAGACAATTTCCTAAAATATTATTATAAAGTCTTGTAGTTGTCGACTTTATTTGCTGAATATTTCTAGAGAAAGTACAAAAAGGTTGATTTCAGTCAGTATCTTGTTGCCTACTTGCCCCAATAGTTTACAATGCACGTAGTGTGAAACGTGATATATTATTTACTATCTGTTTACCAATACATTAATTGTGTTTTACAAGTATCAATTAATTTGTTCAAATATTTCTATTTCAAGCGCTATTCAAACGTTTGTTTAATGATGATTCAAAGGTTGTTTAAAAATTTCGAGATTTTATTTATAATTTTAAAAATTCAATACTATTTATTAATTCTGTCAAGTAATTAAACTTCCCTAACTTATCGATTCTGAGTAATGAGTATTTCAATAAAGTATTTAACTACACGGGGATATATGCACTCAGGAACTAAATGTTGCAGTTTGAATCAATATTTTTATCCATAAATTATTCAACCATAGTTATCCGTGAATAAAATATATTTATTTATTTATTTTATTTTGTTAGGTTTTTGTGGATATTAAACCAGATGAAAATTCCCTATGGTTTAATGCAAATAATTTATGTCAAAAATCGCATATAATATAAAATTAGTTAGTTTTAATTTTTTTATATCTTTATATAGTGAAATCGGAAGAATACTTTCAGTTTAAAAATAATACCAATTTGTTATACTCTATAAAAATATATATTGACATATTTTGTCACATTCTTGAAACTATAACATTTTTTCACGGGTTATTTTAAATTGAAAAGGGTGCAATTCAACTAGGACGTATAAAAACCCAGTTATGTGAATTTCCATAAAAATATGTCAAAACAATACACTTGAGAAACGTGAAACTTTTTCGTTTTAAAATATTTGTTTAGCAACCGATACCATTTCATCCAAATTTAATCAGCTTAAATTTATAATTAATATCTTAACGAAATAATAAAATACGGCCTTGTTGATAGTTAACGAAAAATTCATAGATGTTACAACTCATTTTCTACTTGCTCGTGTGAGCGATTTAGCCACAACACTAATAATTATTTATATGAATACACTATTAATTATGTATGTGTTAGGTATTATTAATACTTATCCGATTTATGCTCAGCTATAATTCTTTATGTGTGAGCTTTTATATCTATACATGATCCATATGATATATCTGGTAATTGGTATGTACAATTATTAATATGTTTAGTAATAAAACTTTTCAGCACCTTTAAAAGAATTATTTATAAATAAATATATTTATAGGTATATATATATATATATATATTTTTTTTTAAAAATATTAATTTGTTCAAATAATTTAACAACGTTGAAACATGATTTTACGATTGACATTTTTCCAATGGAGTAGAGTAATTTTTTTTTGCATCGAAATTTAATACTCAGCCACCTTAAACTTTTTTTTTTAATCAAGGCTCGATCTGTATACGTCTTTATTATCTATAATATTTTACAATATGAAATTCAATACCATAACTTTCAGTATTTACGATGGACGGATTTTAATAAAATATAGATTTACGTATAATTTATAGTTTTAGTTCAGTAATATTATAGATATGTATTGTATTTTGATTTTAGATTATTTTAAGAAACATAAAATTATATAATATTACTTTATATTTTAATATTATTTTGTCATTATTAAAGCTCAAAACATAGAATTCAGAAGTAATGCATAATCATAACATTAAAAGTACTCAGCAGTTTTTTATTTTCGTATGGTTATTAATTAGGTACTTAAATATTTTTCTCATGACTTTATAATACAAATCTGAAAAAATACTAGTACAGCGTAAACGCAGTTATACAAAATAATAGGTTAACTATATGAAATTAATTTAAAAAAAAAAAAAAATGTTATTGACAAAATGTTATTAGTTTTTTCTACAATATTATTTAAGTATTTTATACATTTATACTTGGATTGTATTAGAATTAAATCGAGTAAGTAAAAACTATGGATATGACAAAAGATAAAATATTATGACTTATGGTATTTGGAGTAAATATTTTGTTGAATACATTTTTCAAATAAAAATTACTCTTTTTTTATTAATAAAAAACCCGCGGAATCGTAGACAGTTGGGAAACATAAATAATAAAATAATAATTATATAATAATTAAAGTTCTCAAACATGATTCATTTTTAAATAATTGTATTTGATAGGTATTGAGAGAATATAATAATAACTATGTATTTTTAAATTTATCTCAATAATATTTTTTAACTTAAAGTTTTAAAAAAATATTTATTTTACTATAAATATTGTTAAAAACTTAATAAGAATATGCTACAGTTAATATATAATTAAAATAAAGATTTTTCGAATTAATTCAAATAAAATGAAATAAAAATATTTTTTAGGTACTCTAAATTGTATTTTTAAAAGTGAGATAAAAGTAAATAAAAATTATAATTTTGCGAATCATTCGCATTTGGATTTGATGTTATTGATCTTTTCTTATTTTATAATATTTTTAATTAATTAATTATAAATGATTTTTAATCGTAAATTATTCGTAATATTTTAAAACAATGTAGGTTATAAACAAAATTATTTATAAAATTTTCTATTCCTTGGTTGAAATAAATAATTGATACTGTAACATAAAATTAAAAACACAACAATAGAGTAATGCAATATTTAATTGGATAGTTAACAAGATAGTAATATTCTATTAATGTAATAAAATGTATTCTTAAAATAAATATATTTTATAATAAGTTAATTTATATAATCTTAGCGGATGTTGTGTCCAACTTTAGATATTGAAGTTATGTTAAGTAAAGTATGAGTTGTTAATCAATGTATACTGTTTAGTTTCCTATCTAAATGATTTTAAATTATCCAAAGTTTTTGAACCCTTAGAAAATATACAGCCTAAAGCCTTAAACTCAATATTTATTATTGTAGTCTAATAAAGTTGATACAATTATTCCACTTATACTAGTTTTATTATTATTATTATACAAATCGATATCGGTTTACTATATTTTATCACAATGATTTTAATTTTAATTAATTTCATAATTTGTGTTTAATTATCTTTAAATTGGTTTTGTTTTTTTTTTGTTTTTTTTTAAGTTGAGAGGGGGAATAAAAATTGGTTGAATATAGCATTTTATTTTACAACATACTTCGTATAATGTTTTATGTAGTAGTATACAAAATTATATGCCGTAATTTAATATTTTAAACAATGTTGTTTATTGTACTTTTTTAGATATACATATTATTACTTTTCATAATAAAATAGCTTGTATAAAAAATAAATACAAATGACGGTTTGGTCGAGGCCAATTTGTTAAACGCTCAATTTACATGTAAAAAGAAAAACGTATTTGAATTCGTATGTAATTTTTTTTTTTTTGTTAGTAACAGGCATTAGTTATTGAGTTTGTCGAGACAAACATTTTAATCATAAAGTAAATGTGCATTATTTTTTATTTGATTCAGATGATTGAATTTTAGATATGATTAGTGACAATGTATATCAAATCAAGATTCTATGAGCACTATTCAGTATGATGTTCTAAAAATATAATAAATATTAGTTAAGAGTATTTATTATTATAAATATTAACAAATTTATTTTTGATGACTAACTAATTATTAAACATACATATTAATTTAAAATTGAAATTATATATTCTTTTAGCCAATAATTAGATTATTGTATTTTGTTAATTAAATAGTCTATTATAAGTAGGTAAATAATCTAATTTATAAAACAACATTCAAAAATATGGTTTTAAAATAAAGTTTTTTTGATTTAATACAGTAAAATTGAGATTTAAATGTATTTAATGTACATGTAATTACTTAAATCGCCTAAATAGGTAGCTTATTATTTATAAGCCTATTTTAAGTTTGGAAGGGCTGAGTTGTGCACTAATAAAATACTTAATTTCTAAAGAGATTTTTACTTCCATTTCATACTACATAACCAAACTACTTATATAAACATAACGAATTTTATTGTTGTTTCACTATATTTGTTACGTGTATACATTATGATTTTCAGAAAAAAAATATTATTCCGATAACCGATACCGCGTATACAT